ACGACTACTCGCGTTACACCACGGTCTTCCCCTTGCGCAGCAAGGGTGAGGTCCCTGCTATTTTGATCCCTTGGATCCGCGCTGTACGTCTCCAGCTCCGCGAGCGGTTCCGCACGGACCTTCCCGTCCTGCGTCTGCACTCTGACAGAGGTGGTGAGTTCTCCTCCGACCTCTTGCGGGACTTTTGTCAAGGGGAGGGCATCCTCCAGTCGTTTACGCTTCCGGGCTCACCGCAGCAGAATGGGGTTGGTGAGCCGCGCATTGGCTTAGTCATGGAGGTGGCCCGTACCTCCATGATCCATGCGGTTGCTCCCGATATTCTGTGGCCGTTTGCGGTCCGGTACGCTACGCATCAGCTCAACCTCTGGCCCCATGCCTCCTTGCCGGAGACCTCGCCCACACTGCGTTGGACGGGAGAGGTTGGCGATGCGTCTCGGTTCCGAGTCAGGGGCTCTCATGCCTTTGTCCACGATACCACCGCGGACAAGCTCTCCTCTTGCGCCATTCCCTGCGTCTTCCTTGGCTTCCCCCCTGACGCGCCTGGCTGGCAGTTTTACCACCCCACCTCACGCCGTGTCTTCCCCTCAGAGGACGTCACGTTTGATGAGTCCGGTTCCCTTTTACCGACTCTTCTCCTGCCGCACTGCCCCTCTCCCCCCCCCCCTCGCCGCTCTTCCTTGCTATAGGTCCCCCTCCGGTAGACCCCCTCCCCCCTCAGGGTCCTGCTCCTTTAGGTGTGTCTCAGGTAGACCCACTCCCCTTGGTTGAGCCTGTCGAGGTCACTGGTGACTCCGGTGTTGCTGGGGGTGGTCTTGCTCGAGGTGCTACGTCTGGGGGTGCTGAGCCTGTGGGTGCGGAGCCTGGGGGTGCAGAGCCTAAGTGTGCGGAGCCCGGGGGTTATACGCCTGAGCGTGCGGAGCCTGGGGGTGCTGAGCCTAGGGTTGCCGAGACTGGGGGTGCTGCGCCTGAGCGTACTGAGCCTAGGGGTGCTGAGCCTGGGGGTGCTGCTTCTGGAGGAGCTGAGCCGGGTGGTGCTGCTTCTGGTGGTGGTCTTCCGGGAGCCTCACCACAGCGGTCTCCCCAATGTGAGAACCTCTCACGACAGCAGCTACGCGAGTGGCTTGCCCGGCGCACCCACCTTCGGAGTCGCACTGGAGCTGGAGGTGCTGGAGCTGGAGGCACTGAAGCTGGAGGCGCTGGAGCTGGAGGCGCTGGAGTTGGAGGTACTGGCACTGGAGGTGCTAGAGCTTGAGGTCCTGACGCTGGAAGCACTAGAGCGGGAGGCATTGGAGCTGGAGGCACTGACGCTGGAGCTACTAGAGCTGGAGGTGCTGGCGCTGGAGACGCTGGGGCTAGATGCCCTATGCAGTAGCGTGAGCCCCTCTCACCACGGGAGCTGCGCGAGTGGCTTCCCCGGCGCACCCACCTTCGGAGTCGCGCAGGAGCTGGAGGCACTAAAGTTGGAGGTACTAGAGCTGGAGGCACTGGAGCTGGAGGCGCTAGAGCTGGAGGCGCTGGAGCTGGAGGCACTGGAGCTGGAGGCCCCGACGCTGGAGGCGCTGGAGCTGGAGGTGCTGGAGCTGGAGGTGCTGGCGCTGGAGGCACTGGCGCTGGAGCTACTGGAGCTGGAGGTGCTGGCTCTGGAGGCGCTAAAGCTGGAGGTCCTGACGCTGGAGGTGTTGGAGCTGGAGGCACTGGAGCTGGAGGCGTTGGAGTTGGAGGCCCTGGCGCAGGAGCTACTGGAGCTGGAGGTGCTGGCGCTGGAGGCGCTGGAGCTAGAGGCCCTATGCAGCAGCGATTGTTTTTCTTGCCGCCGCCGCAGCTGTCCGAGCTTCCGCCTGAGTCGGTGCTCCGTCAGGTTCTTAGTCTTCCTTCGTCCACTGCCCTTCCTCCAGACTCACCGCTGCCTGCCCCACCTTGTTACACTGAGCAGCCGATCTCCCTTACAGAGCGTCGTGAAGCCTGCCTCTCATCTTGCCTCCCCTGTTCGCATTGTTCGCCGTGCTCGTTGGGTCCCTCGTCCGCGTCCTCCTCCTGTGCCAGGTACTCACACTATGGCACTTCGTCCTTCCTCTATTCCACTACGCGTCCCTCTACCGTCTCCTCCTGCGTCCTCTCTTCCTGACGTTCCGGACCCTGAGTCTGACCGTGTTCATGCTGCCAGCCCTACTGTCACCCATCTCCTTGCTAGCCACTGTTGTTACTGACCCGTCGTTTGAGTCTACTGCTGCGTCTGCCTTAGTTGCTGAGCTTGTGGACTTTGCTGCTGTGTGTCGTCTAGACTACGCCGCCAGTCTTGTTGCTGAGTCTGAGTCTGTCTGTCCTCCGTCCGTCGGGGGTGAGTATGCTCTTGGCACGGACGTCCTTGAGGACAGGCAGGAGGACTTTGAGTCTCTTGCGGCTGCTGTACCTCATCTCGTGGCCTGACAACTTACGCCTGAGGGAGACCCGGATGCACTGGACATCCCGACCCCGCGCTCTTACGCAGAGGCGATCACGGGTCCCTACTCCTCTCAGTGGCAGACAGCCATGGACACAGAGATGGCATCCTGGAAGTCCACATGCACCTACGTCGACGCAGTTCCCCCTCCTGGGGCGAACATTGTCGATGGCATGTGGATTTTCAAGGTGAAGCGGCCGCCGGGTTCTCCGCCTGTCTTCAAGGCGCGTTACGTTGCACGAGGCTTCAGTCAGCAACAGGGAGTTGACTTCTTCCATACCTTCTCCCCTACCCCGAAGATGACCACTCTTCGGGTGCTGCTGCACGTTGCCGCTCAGCGTGACTACGAGCTTCACTCTCTTGACTTCAGCACAACGTTCTTACAGGGCAGCCTGCACGAGGAGATTTGGCTGCGCCACCAACCTGGCTTCACTGGGCCGTTCCCTCCTCCAGTGGAGCCTGAGGCGACCAGTCTACGGTCTCCGCCAGGCGCCTCGTGAGTGGCACGACAAACTGAGGACGACACTTGCTCCTTGGGTTTGCTCCTTTTACTGTTGACCCGTCGCTGTTTCTACGCAGTGACACTTCGTTGCCGCCGTTCTACATCCTCGTGTACGTCGACGACTTGGTTTTTGCCACTGCTGACACTGAGGCACTAGCCCTTGTGAAGTCGGAGCTGCAGAAGAGATACACGTGCACAGACCTGGGTGAGCTGCGTAGCTACCTTGGCTTGCAGATCACCCGGGACAGAGCACGCCGCACCATCACCCTGTAGTGGGGTAGCCCATAAGGGATACAACCCAATTAGGGTTTCCATATTTGTATCTATTTCCTGTCTAGTTCATTCATTCTTTCCTTTTAGATTCTGACAAAGAGGGCATATGACGCCACAGATTCCAAGTTCCCTCCCGTGCTTTTTCCTCCTCTTTCCTCCCTTGTACCATGTCTCCTCACGAGCAAAAAGAGGGCATATGATGCCATCACGCCAATCTTTCTTCCATGTTCTTTCATCCCTTCCCCCCCCCCCCCCCGTGTGCCCATCTTTCAGCTCATGGGAAGCAAGAGGGCTTATGATGGGATCACGCCAACCTTCCTCCTTTGCTCATTTGTCTGTTTTCCCCGCCTGCATCTGTCTCTCAGTTCACGGGCAGCAAGAGGGTGTACGAAGTCATCGGGCCAACCTTCCTCCCATGCTCTTTCTTCCCATTTGCCCCCCTGTACCCCTCTCTCAACTCACGGGTATGAAAGAATCGTATGACGCAATCACATCAACTTTCCTCTCATGCTCTTTCCTCCATGTTTCTCCCGCGTACCCGTCTCTCACCTCGTGAGCAGCAAGAGGTCGCATGACGCCATCACGCTAACCTTCCTCCCATGCTTTTCCTTCCCTTCTACGCCCCTTTACCCGTTTCTCAGTTCAGGAGCAACAAGAGAGCATGCACGACATCATACCAACCTTCTTCCGATGATCGTTCCTCCCGTTTTCCCCCTTGTACCCTTCACTCATCTTACGGGCAGCAAAAAGGAGTATGACGTCATCACGCTAATCTTCCTCACGTGATCGTTCATCCCCTTTCCCCACCTATACCCGTCTCTCAGCTCATGAGCAGCAAGAGAGCGTGTCACTTCATCACGTCAATCATTCATTTCGTCGTATTTATCAACGATTCTGCACTTCAGTTTTACATTCCCTCTCTACTTCAAAATCTCACATTCCATTTCTCCTTTCTCATTCACACCTTTTACTTTCTTTTTTCTTCCCCCAAATCTTTTATATAGATACCGTTGTTCATTGTGGAGCTTTCTGTTGCAAGGATGGACTCCCACTATTTTCCACGAGCTGTATGCAAAGTGCGTGATGGGAGTGGCACCTTTAGCTTGACCGCGCTGGGCTCGCTTGCGAACGGTATCAAAATGATCGTGGCAGAGGACCAAATGATACAGAACAAGCTTTTCAATGAGATGAAGGTTGTCTCGTGGATCACAAAGATCTATCAGGATGACGGACAGATTATGTCAACGAAGAGGTATATCAAACCTTGAACCCCAAAGATACATGAATCGTATCATTAATAATGGTTTGTTTTGAAAATGATGAGTTTCAATTTTTTTATTTTTAATGAGTTTGGTTTTGAAAACGTCATGTTTGATATTGTTTTCTCATATTATATACGCATGTGTGATAAATATTTTTTTTTACATATTTCAAAATCTCATTTCGGGTCGAGAATCATCAAGGTCAACGATGATGTGGTTGTTGCCTCCGTCTCGAAGTATATGGAGCGAAAAACTCCTGACGTTGTCGACAGCTGGCTCGTCAAGTCATAAGTCAGTTTGATTGAGTGGTTAGCAGGGTGAGTGTCTATCTGAGTGAATGAGTGATTGGCTGGGTGCGAGGCCGGATTCATGATGACCGGTTCATGGTGCCAGGCTCATGGTGCCCGGCTCATGGTGCCAGGTTCATGGTGCCCGGTTTATGGTGCCTAGCTCATGGTGCATGGTTCATGGTGCTCGGGTTATGGTGTCCGAGTCATGGTGCTCGGCTCACGGTGCTCGACTCATGGTGCCCGGCTCATGGTGCCCAGGTCATGGTGACCGGCTCATGGTGCCCGGCTCATGGTGCCATGTTCATGGTGACCAGTTCATGGTGACCGGCTCATGGTGCGCGGCTCATGGTGACCGGGTCTTGGTGCTCGTGACATGGTGCCCGGCTCATGGTGCCCGGGTCATGGTGCCCGGTTCATGGTGCCGGTTCATTGTGCCCGGCTCATGGTGACCAGGCTCATGGTGTCGTGTTCATGGTGAACAATTCATGGTGCCAGGCTCATTGTGACTGGCTCGTGGTGCCTGGCTCATGGTGCCGGGTTCATAGTGACCGGGTCACGGCGCCCGACTCATGGTGCCCGGCTCATGGTGCCCGGCTCATGGTGCCCGGCTCATGGTGCCGTGTTCATGGTGACTAGTTCATGGTGCCAAACTCATGGTGACCGGCTCATGGTGCCCGGCTCATGGTGCCGGGTTCATGGTGACCGGGTCACGGTGCCCGGCTCATGGTGCCCAACTCATGGTGCTCGGCTCCTGGTGCCCGGCTCATGGTGCCCGGGTCATGTTGCTCGGCTCATGGTGCCCGGCTCATGGAGCCCAGGTCATGGTGCCTGGCTCATGGTGCCCAGTTCATGGTGTTCGGCTCATGGTGCCCGGTTCATGGTGATCAACTCATGGTGCCCGGGACATGGTGCCCAACTCATGGTGCCCGGGTCATGGTGCTCGGGTCATGGTGCCCGGGTCATGGTGCCCGAGTCATGGTGCCTGGGTCATGGTGCCCGGGTCATGGTGCCCAGCTCATGGTGCCTTGCTCATGGTGCCCGGTTCATGGTGCCCGGTTCATGGTGCCAAGCTCATGGTGCCTGGCTCATGGTGCTTGGCTCATGGTGCCCGGGTCATGGTGCCCGGGTCAAGGTTCCCGGGTCATGGTGCCCAGGTCATGGTGACCGGCTAATGGTGCTCAGCTCATGGTGTCGTGTTCATGGTGATCAGTTTTTAGTGCCAGGCTCACGGTGACTAGCTCATGGTGCCCAACTCATGGTGTTGGTTTCATGGTGACTGGGTCATGGTGCCTGGCTCATGCTGCCCGGCTCATGGTGGTCGGCTCATGGTGCCCGGCTCATGGTGCCCGGATTATGGTGCCCGGCTGATGGTGCCTGCGTCATGGCGCCCAGGTCATGGTGACCAATCCATGGTGCCCGGCTCATGGTACCTTGTTCATGGTGACTAGTTCATGGTGCCATGCTCATGGTGACCGGCTCATGGTGCCCGGCTCATGGTGCCGGGTTCATGGTGACCGGGTCATGGTGCCCAGCTCTTGGTGCCCGACTCATGGTGCTCGGCTCATGGTTCCCGGGTCATGGTGCACGGCTCATGGTGCCCGGCTCATGGTGCCCGGCTCATGGTGCCCGGCTCATGGTGCCCGGCTCATGGTGCCCGGCTCATGGTGCCGTGTTCATGGTGACCAGTTCATGGTGCCAGGCTCGTGGTGACCGGCTCATGGTGCCCGGCTCATGGTGCCGGGTTCATGGTGACTGGGTCATGGTGCCCGGCTCATGGTACCCGGCTCATGGTGCTCGGCTCCTGGTGCCCGGCTCATGGTGCCCGGGTCATGGTGCTCAGCTCATGGTGCCCGGCTCATGGTGCCCAGCTCATGGTGCCTGGCTCATGGTGCGCGGTTCATGGTGTTCGGCTCATGCTGCCTGGCTCATAGTGCCCGGGACATGGTGCCCGGCTCATGGTGCCCGGGTCATGGTGCCCGAGTCATGGTGCCCGGGTCATGGCGCCCGGGTCATGGTGCCCGGGTCATGGTGCCCAGCTCATGGTGCCTGGCTCTGGTGCCCGGTTCATAGTGCCCGGTTCATGGTGCCAAACTCATGGTGCCCGGCTCATGGTGCTTTGCTCATGGTGCCCGGCTCATGGTGCCCGGGTCATGGTGCCCGGGTCATGGTGCCCAGGTCATGGTGACCGGCTAATGGTGCTCGGCTCACGGTGCCGTGTTCATGGTGACCAGTTTATAGTGCCTGGCTCACAGTGACTAGCTCATGGTGCCCAACTCATGGTGCCGGGTTCATGGTGACTGGGTCATGGTGCCCGGCTCATGGTGCCCGGCTCATGGTGGTCGGCTCATGGTGCCCGGGTCATGGTGCCCGGCTTCTGGTGCACGGCTCATGGTGCCCGAGTCATGGCGCCCAGGTCATGGTGACCGTTCCATGGTGCCCAGCTCATGGTGCCTTGTTCATGGTGACTAGTTCATGGTGCCAGGCTCATGGTGACCGGCTCATGGTGCCCGGCTCATGGTGCCGGGTTCATGTTGACCGGGTCATGGTGCCCGACTCATGGTGCCCGGCTCATGGTGCTCGGCTCATGGTTCCCGGGTGATGGTGCTCGGCTCATGGTGCCAGGCTCATGGTGCCCGGGTCATGGTGCTCGGTTCATGGTGCCGGCTCATGGTGCCCGGCTCATGGTGCTCGGCTGATGGTGACCAGCTCGTGGTGCTCGGCTCATGGTGCCCGGGTCATGGTGCCCGAAACATGGTGACCGGGTCATGGTGCCCGGCTCATGTTTCCCGGCTCATGGTGCTCGGCTCATGGTGCCCAGGTCATTGTGCCCGGGTCATGATGCTTAGGTCATGGTGACCAGCTCATGATGTCGTGTTCATGGTGAACAGTTCATGGTGCCAAGCTCATGGTGACCGGGTCATGGTGCCTGGGAGATGGTGCCCGGCTCATGGTGCCCGGGTCATGGTGCTCGGTTCATGGTGCCGGCTCATGGTGCCAGGGTCATAGTGCCATATTCATGGTGACCGGATTATGGTGCCAAGCTCATGGTGCCCGGCTCATGGTGACCGGGTCATGGTGCCTGGGACATGGTGCCCAGCTCATGGTGCCCGGGTCATGGTGCCTGGTTCATGGTGCTGGCTCATGGTGCTTGGCTCATGGTGCTCGGCTGATGGTGACCAGCTCGTGGTGCTCGGCTCATGGTGCCCGGGTCATGGTGCCCGAATCATGGTGACCGGGTCATGGTGCCCGGCTCATGTTTCCCGGCTCATGGTGCTCGGCTCATGGTGCCCAGGTCATGGTGCTTAGGTCATGGTGACCAGCTCATGATGTCGTGTTCATGGTGACCAGTTCATGATGCCAAGCTCATGGTGACCAGCTCATGGTGCCCGGCTCATGGTGTCGGGTTCATGGTGACCGGGTCATGGTGTTAGAATCTAGCAGCAGGAAATGAGTGAACTATGAATCAGTCTGGTACATTTTTAACCCTAACAGGGTTGTACCCTATATTGGCTACCCCACTACAGCCTACACAACACAATATTCTGACACACCCCATAGGCAAGGTGGGGGAGGTCAAGCGGTCAAAGAAAAGCAAAGCAAGCTCAGGGTGGATCACGAAGTCACCACACATTCCGAGCACAAGCAAATGGCCACAAGGCCAGTTCACATGCAGAGTTATATAAAAGAAAGCAAGCTGTACAGTGATCACCACCTAGCAAGTGTAAGCATGCAGGTATATATATAGATCACAGTACAAGCAAAGTCACGCAGTGAGCAAGTGAGCAAACGTAGGCACGAGGCCTAAAGCAGTACAGAGACACTGATGATCACCAGGCGGAAGTGCCTTGGTGAATATATCAGCTGTGTTGGCCCGGGTGGCCACGTAAGTAAGACAAAGCTGGCTGCGCTGCTGCAACTCTCGAGCAAGGAAGTAACGCAGAGCGATATGCTTCGTTCTGTGCTCCAGTCTGTGCTCCTAACACAAGGCCATGGCGGCCTTGTTGTCTGCGTAAAGAACTGGAGGAGAACTAGGCCGCTCTCGCAACTCAGTTAGCAGGTAGGTGAGTCAGCGTAACTCCTGTGCAGCCATAGCTCCTCCGCGTAGATCTCAGCCTCACAACTAGAGCTGAGAACAGAAGAAGAGCGGGTAGACCGCCAAGAAACAAAGCCGGAACCAAGGCTGAACCTGTAACTTTGTGACGACCGCTGCGTAGCCAGGTCGTCAACCCAAGAGGCGTCTGAGTGTCTAGTGAGGACAACTCGACCCCGTCCTCCAAGCACCAGCCCCATGCCCGATGTACTGCACAAGTAGCGCAGCACCCTCTTAGCAGCCTCCTAGTGCTCTCGCCGGTGTCTCCCAGGTGCAACGTAGCGAGCCACGATGCTAAGAGGGTATGCAAGGTCAGGTCGAATGCAGGTCATCAGGTACATGAGGCAGCCCACAAGCTCTGAATACGGGCCACTCGGCTCTACGGACTTGTTCGCAAGTGAAGCTGAGAGTGAGTGACCAATAGACAAAAAAGTGGACTGTGGTGAGGAGAACTGGAAGCCGAAGCGCTGAAGGACCTGCTGCACCATGTGTGACTGAGTCAGGGTAATGGTGCGCCGTGCTCTGTCCCGGGTGATCTGCAAGCCAAGGTAGTTGCGCAGCTCACCCAGGTCTGTGCACGTGTGTCTCTTCTGCAGCTCTGGCTTCACAAGAGCCAGTGCCTCTGTGTAAGCAGTGGCAAAAACCAAGTCATCGACGTACACGAGGATGTAGAACGGCGGCAGTGAAGTGTCGGTGCGCAGAAACAACGACGGGTCAGCAGTGGAAGGAGCAAACCCAAGAGCCACAAGTGTCGTCCTCAGTGTATCGTGCCACTCACGAGGCGCCTGGCGGAGACCGTAGACTGGTCGCCGGAGGCTCCACTGGGTACCAGCAGGAAACGACCCTGTGAAGCCAGGTGGGCGGCGCAGCCAGATCTCCTCGTGCAGGCTGCCCTGTAAGAACGCTGTGCTGAAGTCAAGAGAGTGAAGCTCGTAGTCATGCTGAGCGGCAACATGGAGCAGCACTCAAAGAGTGGCCATCTTCGGGGTAGGGGAGAAGGTCTGGAAGAAGTCAACTCCCTGTCGCTGACTGAAGCCTCATGCAACGTAACGAGCCTTGAAGACAGGCGGAGAACCCGGCGGCCGCTTCACCCTGAAAATCCACATGCCATCGACAATGTTCGCCCCATGAGGGGGAACTACGTCAACGTAAGTGCTTGTGGACTTCCAGGATGCCATCTCTGCGTCCATGGCTGTCTGCCACTGAGAGGAGTATGGACCCGTGATTGCCTCTGCGTAAGAGCACGGAATCGGGATGTCCAGTGCATCCGGGTCTCCCTCAGGTGCAAGCAGCCAGGCCACGAGATGAGGTACAGCAGCCGCAAGACACTCAAAGTCTTTCTGGCTGTCCTCAAGGACGTCCGTGCCAAGAGAACACTCACCCCCGACGGACGGAGGATAGACAGACTCAGACTCAGCAACAAGACTAGTGGCGTAGTCTAGACGACACGCAGCAGCAAAGTCCACAAGCTCAGCAACTAAGGCAGACGCAGCAGTAGACTCAAATGACGGGTCAGTGACAACAGTAGCAAGGAGACGGGTGACAGTAGGGCTGGCAGCACGAACACGGTCAGACTCAGGGTCCGGAATGTCAGTAGAGGGGACGCAGGAGGAGACGGCAGAGGAACGCGTTGTGGAACAGAAGAAAGGACGAAGTGCCATAGTGTGAGTACCTGGCACAGGGGGAGGACGCGGACGAGGGACACGACGAGCACGGCGAACAGTGCAAACAGGGGAGGCAGGACGAGACACAGGCTCACGACGCTCTGTAAGGGAGACCGGCTGCTCAGTGTAACGAGGCGGGGCAGGCATCGATGAGTCCAAAGGAAGGGCAGTGGATGAAGGAAGACTAAGAACCTGACGGAGTACCAACTCAGGCGAGAGCTCGGACAGCTGTGGTGGCAGCAAAAAAAACGGTCGGACGTTGCTGCACAGGGCCTCCAGACGCAGCACCGCCAAGCTCAGCACCCTCAGACGCAGCACCATCAGGCTCAGCAACCTCAGGCTCCGTACGCACAGGCTCAGCAACCCCAGGCTCAGCACTCTCAGGCTCAGCACGCACACGCTCAGCACCCCCAGGCTCCGCACGCTCAGGCTCAGCACCTCCAGGCTTCGCACGCTCAGACTCAGCACCCCCAGACAAAGTACCACGAGCAGCACCACCCCCAGCAGCACCAGAGTCACCGGTGACCTTGACAGGCTCAGCCAAGGGAAGAGGCTTGACCTGAGACACACCTGAAGGAGCAGGACCCTGAGGGGGGAGGGGGTCTACCAGAGGGGGACCTGGAGCGAGGAAGAGCGGCGGGGGGGGGAGAGGGGCAGTGCGGTAGGGGAAGAGACCGTAGAAGGGAACTGACTCGTCAAACGTGACGTTCTGAGAGGACAAAACACGGCGCGAGGTGGGGTGGTAAAACTGCCAGCCAGGCGCGTCAGGGGGAAAGCCAAGGGAGACGCAGGGAACGGCGCGAGAGGAGAGCTTGTCCGCGGTGGTATCGCGGACAAAGGCACGAGAGCCCCAGACCCGCAACGTCGACGCATCGCCAACCTCCCCCGTCCAACGCTGTGTAGGCCAGAGGTTGAGCTGATGCGCAGCGTACCGGACCGCAAACGGCCACAGAAAATGGGGGGCAGCCGCATGGATCATGGAGGTACGAGCCACCTCCATGACTAAGCCAATGCGGCGCTCAGAAATTCCATTCTGCTGCGGAGAGGCCGGAAGTGTGAACGACTGGAGGATGCCCTCCCCACGACAAAAGTCCCGCAAGAGGTCGGAGGAGAACTCACCACCTCTATCAGAGTGCAGACGCAAGACACGAAGGTCTATGCGGAACCGCTCGCGGAGCTGGAGACGGACAGCGCGGATCCAAGGGATAAAGACATCAGGGACGTCTCCCTTGCTGCGCAAGGGGAAGACCGTGGTGTAACGCGAGTAGTCGTCAACAACCAGCAGAAAGTACCGCTCGCGGCCCTGTCCCTGGACGCGGGCTGGAGGCACTGGTACTGGAGACGCTGGAGCTGGAAATCAGAAAATGAGTGAACTATGAATCAGTTTGGTACAATCATAACCCTAACAAGGTTGTACCCCATATTGGCTACCCCACTACAACCTACACAACACAATATTCTGACAAATGGTGCCCGGCTCATGGTGCCCAGGTCATGGTGCCCGGATCATGGTGCCTCGGCTCATGGTGCCCGGCTCATGGTGAGCGAGTCATGGTGCCCGGCTCATGGTGCCCGGCTCATGGTGCCTGGGTCATGGTGTTCGGCTCATGGTGCCTAGCTCATGGTGCGCGGATCATGGTGCCCAAGTCATGGTGCTTGGCTCATGGTGCCCGGTTCATGGTGACCGGGTCATGGTGACCGGCTCATGGTGCCCGGCTCATGGTGCTCGGCTCATGGTGCCCAGGTCATGGTGCTCGACTCATGGTGCCCGACTCATGGTGTTCGACTCATGGTGACTGGCTCGTGGAGCCCGGCTCATGGTGCCCGGGTCATTATGCCCGGGTCATGGTGCCCAGGTCATGGTGATCGGCTCATGGTGCCCAGCTCATGGTGCCGGCTCATGGTGCCGGGGTCATAGTGCCCGGCTCATGGTGGCCGGGTCATGGTGCCCGGGTCATGGTGCCCACCTCACGGTGCCCAGATCATGGTGCCCGGCTGATGGTGCCTTGCTCATGGTGCCCGGGTTATGGTGCAAGGGTCATGGTGCTCGGTTCATGGTGCCGTGGTCATGGTGCCTGGCTCATGGTGCCTGGGTCATGGTGCAAGGGTCATGGTGCCTGGTTCATGGTGCCCGGCTCAAAATGCCCGGCTCATGGTGGATGGATCATGGTGCCCGGCTCATGGTGCTCGGCTCATGGTGCTCAGGTCATGGTGTATAGGTCATGCAGCTCGGCTCATGGTGCCCGGGTTATGGTGCCCAGGTTATGGTGCCCGGCTCATGGTGCCCGGCTTACAATGCCTGGCTCATGGTGCCCGGCTCATGGTAACCGGCTCATGGTGCCGGGGTCATGGTGCCCGGCTCATGGTGCCCAGCTCATGTTGCCCGGCTCATGGTGCCCGGGTCATGGTGCCCGGCTCATGGTGGCCGGGTCATGGTGCCGGGGTCATGGTGCCCAGCTCATGGTGCCCGGATCATTGTGCCCGGCTCATGGTGCCGGGTTCATGGTGACCGGATCATGGTGCCAGGCTCATGGTGGATGGATCATGGTGCC